GTAGATGTTCTTTGGTGTCTGGGCATTGAAGAGTTGGGTACTTCTTGTAGTGTTCACAGTCTGAGCTTGTTTGTGCCTATCCTTCTTGGGAAGGGTTTCCAGGTATTCTAAAGCCAATAACACTGTTTTTTTTGCAGACATAGAGGTACCACCTTGGTGGTCTTGGATAAGGCAGAGGAATTATCTGGATCACCAGGCAGAGACTCTTGTTCTTTTCCCTTACTTCCAAATAAATGGAGTCTCTCTCTCTGTGCTAAACCCCCTGGAACTGGGCGTGTGGTGATGCAAGCACTCTGTGGCCACCACCACTCTGACTGCACTGGGTCAGACCTGAAGCCAGCCCAGCACTGGGTCTTGCCCAGAGCCCTTCCCTTCAGGGCAGTAAGCTCCTTCAGGCCCCAGGCATGTCCAGAGACAGTGTTTGTAAGCCAGGGATTGGAGTCAAATACCTTAGTAGTTTACCTGATGTTCTTTTGTACACAGATAAGCTAGCACTCACACCATAATACAGAGTCCTCCCCCCTCTTCTCTTTTCTTTCCACAGGTAGAGGGCCCTCTCCCTGTGGCCACCACCACCATTGGTTTAGAGGGATTCTGCCAGGCCACCACCAATATTCACTTAAAGCTGAAGTGCTCTTCCATCAGCTTGTGGTGAATCCTGCCTGGCCTGGGACTTACCCTTCAGGGTAGTGGGTCCCCTTCTGGCCCAGGGCAGTTACAGAAATGCTGTTCAAAAGTGTGGGCCTGGGCAGGAAACAGTGACTGCCGCCTGTAATCCCAGCACTTTGGAAGGCCGAGATGGGTGGATTATCTGAGGTTAGGAGTTCGAGACCAGCCTGGCCAACATGGCGAAACCCTATCTCTACTAAAAGTACAAAAATTAGCCGAGTGTGGTGGTGTGCACCTGTAATCCCAGCTACTTGGGAGGCTAAGGCAGGAGAATTGCTGGAACCCGGGAGCTGGAGGTTGCAGTGAGCCCAGATCACACCACTGCACTCCAGCCTCGGCAACAGATAGAGACTCCATCTCAAAAAAAAAAAAAAATGTGTAGGCCTGACCTGGGGACCCAAAGAACTTGCTTGTTGCTCTACCTTGCTGTGGCTGAGCTGGTACCTAAGGTGTAAGACAAAGTCCCCTTTACTTTTCTCTCTGCTTTTCTCAAACAAAAGGAGTCTTTCACTGTAGCCACCACAACTGGGAATGTGCTGGGTCACACCTGAAGCCAGCACATCTCAGAGTCTCATCCAAGGCTCATGACGCACTCCTTGGGTATTGCTGCTGGTTATTCAGAGCCCAAGGGCTCTTTAGTCAGCAGGTAATGTATCTTGCCAGGACTGGGTTTTTTCCCTTCAAGGCAATAGGTTCCCTTTTGGCCTAAGGTGGGTCTAGAAATGTTCAGGACCTAGGGCCTGTAATGCGGGCTTCACAACTCTGCCCAGTGCCATGTTCTACTGTGGCTGAGCTGGAATCCAAGGTGCAAGACAGTCCGCTTTACTCTATTCTTTGCTCCTTCAGCAGAAGAAAGGAGTCACTTCTATTGCAGCTGCCTTGGTTTGGGGGATGGATGACGCAAGCACTCCCTTAGCTATGCCAGCTGGTGTCTTCCTAAATCATATGCCACCCTAGTCCACTTACTGTAAGCCCAGCCTAGTGCTAGTAGCCTAGGAATTGCAGTCCTTGTGCCCTAGATTGTCTTTAAAGTTTATCTAGGACCCCAGAGTGCTTCAGCCCATGGTGATGAGGCTTACAGGGAAACTCAGGTTCTGACCACTAGGATAGATGCTTCCTGTCTAGCTAGGGCTCATCCAAATGCTCCCTCCGTGTGCTGGCACTGGCTGAGCCCACCATGGCTTTATTCTCCACTGTGACAGGGCAGCACTGAGTTCAATGTAAAGGCCCTCAGTCACTGTGCCCTTCCTTTCTCAAGCGCATAGGTGCTCTCTCCACACCACATGGTTGCTGCAGGGGGGTGAGGGAGGGGTGGCATTGGCAATGTAAGACCATCTTTTCTGCCCTCCTCAATGCCTCTTTTAATGATATGAAGTCGAAACTGGGTACTGTGATTGCTCACCTGATTTTTGGTTCTTGTGACGGTGCTTTTCTGTGTGAAGGTAGTTAAAATTCTGTGTTCTAGCGGGGGAACCAATGATGTAGGCTTCTTTTCCACCATCTACCTGCTCCCATAATCTGATCCTTACTTGGAAATTCTTACAGCTAAATATCTCCTGTCCAGATTCCTTGCAGGATTCTATAGGGAAGATCACTTATCTTTATCATACAACTTTTCACTCTTTGTTTTTTGGTTTTTTGAGACGGAGTCTTGCTCTGTCACCAGGCTGGAGTGCAGTGGCGCAATCTTGGCTCACTGCAACCTCCGCCTCCTGGGTTCAAGCAATTCTTCCGCCTCAGCCTCCCAAGTAGCTAGGACTACAGGCGCATGCCACCACACCCGGCTAATTTTTGTGTTTTTAGTAGAGACGGGGTTTCATCATGGCTGGGATGGTCTCGATCTCTTGACCTTGTGATCCGCCCACCTCGGCCTCCCAAAGTGCTGGGATTACAGGCGTGAGCCACCACACCTGGCCAACCTTTCACTCTTAATGTGATAATTCTTATTTACCTCTCTACGAATGAATATTATACAGCTCTGTGACTTCAGGCAAGTTATTTAATCTCTCTGTGTTTCTTTGCTGTTAAATATAAACTGAGTGTTTTGAGGATTAAATGAGGTAATTCTAGCACAGAGTAAGCACTTAGTAAATAATAGCTGTTACTATTATCTCTCTTCAGCCAGGCCGAGGTCTTAGAGGGCAGTGCCCCTCATAGTGTTCTTTGTATCTTCTGCAAGTACTTACCTGAGATGTCCCAGAAATAGTAAAAAATGTTTAATATTCTTTCCTGATTTCTTGAGTCTTACTGGTATGTATAAGATAGAATTTTTTACACTGGGCTTCTTTGGACAAGTTTCCTAAGAGGTGCTTTTTTGTAGTTCAGAAACATTGAATTCAAATTCCATTTGTAAGTTTTAACTATTTTAGAAAAACAGCAAAAATCCGTGAACTCAAATATTATAAAATAGAATTTTAATTAATAAAGATTATCAGTGTCTTTACAGTTGTTCATGCCTATAATCCCAGCATTTTGGGAGGCTAAGGTGGGAGGATCACTTGAGGCCAGGAGTTTGAGACCAGCCTGGGCAACATAGTGAGACCTTGTCTCTACAAAAAGAATTTTTTTTAATTAGCCCGGTGTGGTTGTGCACACAACCAGTGGAACAGCTCAAGACTCTATCTCCCCTACCCTTACGGGATACAAATACGTGATGAGGAAAGACGTTCCTTCGCCGCGTTTACTGCGAGAATGAAGACCATTCCAAGCAGTCAGACTGTCGACATTCCAGAAAATGTCGACGTTACTATCAAGGGACGCACAGTTATCGTGAAGGGCCCCAGAGGAACCCTGCGGTGGGACCTCAGTCACATCAATGTAGAACTCAGTCTTCTTGGAAAGAAAAAAAAGAGGCTCCGGGTTGACAAATGGAGGGGTAACAGAAAGGAACTGGCTACCGTTCGGACTATTTGTAGTCATGTACAGAACATTATCAAGGCTGTTACGCTGGGCTTCCATTACAAGATGAGGTCTGTGTCTGCTCACTTCCCGATCAACGTCGTTATCCAGGAGAATGGGTCTCTTGTTGAAATCCGAAATTTCTTGGGTGAAAAATACATCCGCAGCGTTCAAATGATACCAGGTTTGTTTGTTCATTATCTCAAGCCGAGTAAGATGAATTAATCCTTGAAGGAAATGACATTGAGCTTGTTTCAAATTCAGCGGCTTTGATTCAGCAAGCTACAACAGTTAAAAACAAGGATATCCGGAAATTTTTGGATGGTATCTATGTCTCTGAAAAAGGAACTGTTCAGCAGGCTGATGAGTAAGACCTTAGAGTTGTCCAGCTACAGAAACAAGATGCCTATCATAGCTAAGACCTACTTGTGATATTTAAATGATGCAATAAAAGACCTATTAATTTGGTGGGGGGAAAAAAGGCTCTATCTCAATTAAAAAAAAAAAAGGACTCTGATTGTATTAACATCTGCTAAATTAATTCATTTTTATGCTTTTCCTATCATCTTTGTAAACTGAAGATGATCCTGATATTAAAGGGCGCGGTGGCTCACGCCTGTAATCCCAGCACTTTGGGAGGCCGAGGTGGGTGGATCACGAGGTCAAGAGATCAAGACCATCCTGGTCAAAATGGTGAAACCCCGTCTCTACTAAAAATACAAAAAATCAACTGGGCATGGTGGCGCGTGCCTGTAATCCCAGCTACTCAGGAGGCTGAGGCAGGAGAATTGCCTGAACCCAGGAGGCGGAGGTTGTGGTGAGCTGAGATTGCGCCATTGCACTCCAGCCTGGGTAACAAGAGCGAAACTCCGACTCAAAAAAAAAAAAAAAAGGGTAAACTGTTAAAAACAAACTGCAATAACTTGTTGACATTTGCAAATATTTCTCCATAAATTTTAATCCTGTGAATTTTAAAAATACAAAAACAAATAGAATAGGATACAGGAATGCAACTGACACATAACCCATGCTTTCATTGATTTGCATTACTCAGATGAAGATTATTGTTGCTGTTGATTGATTTTTATAATAAATTCATTCTACAAATTTAAATAAAAATATACCTGTTCTAATTAAATGTAGACTTACCTTTGGAAATAGGAGACACTGATTAGTAACTTGCTTGTTTTTATGTATTTCTTTGCTAAGCTTTTATTATACTATTGTTATAGAATAGGTATTAGGCTCTAAGCTAACAATATAGGTTTGACAGGCTACAACTGGCAGCCTTTAGTTAAACACAAATTCATTATGTTTCCACAGAATTGTGCATTTAGAAGAATGCTTTATTGCTTTAAGAATCTTTGGAAACACTGACTTGTAAAGTAACCTATGTCTCTGAGTCAGATAACTCCCATCTTTTGCTTTTGCAGGGGTCCAGCTGGAGTAAGAGCTCAAGCCCTGGATAGTGATGGAAATCTGGTAGAAGATTTTATATTTGATGGAGGAGTTGGGGATATTGGAAATCGCATTCTTCATGTGAGAAATGCACCCTCCCCTGCTGCTACTTCTTCCATCGCAATTTCTGGAATTATTGCAGATGAAGTGCAACAAAGATTTGAATTGTAAATAATGAAAGGAGCTAGGTATGCACTAAAATCTCCATGTCAGCAACAAGAATGTACTAATTTCATTCTTTAATATAAAATATGGTTTTTAAAATTTCATTTTTATGTGAAAGATAACCACTGAATTGTTAAAATGATATAACATAGAAATAATAATTTTCTACAAAAATTAGCCAGGCATAGTGGTACATGCCTGTAATTCCAACTGTGGAGGCTGAGGCAGGAGAATCACTTGAACCAAGAAGGTGGAGGTTGCAGTAAGCTGAGATTTAGCTACTGCATTACAGCCTGGGTGACAGAGCAAGAAAATAATAATAATTTTTTAAATGCTAGGCTGGGGGCTGGGGCTCCCACCTTCAATTGCCAGCACTTTGGGAGGCCAAGGCAGGCAGATTGCAGCCCAGGAGTTTGAGACCAGCCTGGGCAACATGGTGAAACCTTGTCTCTACAAAAAATTAGCTGGGTGTAGTGCCTGTAGTTCCAGACACTCAGTAGGCTGAGGTGAGAGGATCACTTGAGCCCAGGAGATCCAGGCTGCAGTGAGCTATGGTCATGCCACTGCATTCCAGGCTGGATGATAGAGCAAGACCTTGTCCAAAAAAAAAAATTCCAACCTGGGCAACATGGTGAATGAAACCCTATCTCTACAAAAAATAAAAAAATTAGCTGGGCATGATTGGTGTGTGCCTGTAGTCCCAGCTGCTTGGGGACTGAGGCAGGAGAATTGCTTGAGCCTGGGAGGTCGAGGCTACAGTGTGCTGTGTTTGTGCCACTACACCCCAGCCTGGGCAACAAAGTGAGTCCATGTCTCAAAAAATAAAAAATGACAAAAATAAATTCCATGCCATGCTCGGCTCACTGCAACCTCTGCCTCCCGGGTTCAAGCGATTCTCCTGCCTCAGCTTCCCAAGTAGCTGTAATTATAGGCACCCACCATGATGCCTGGCTAATTTTTTGTATTTTTAGTAGAGATGGGGTTACACCACGTTGGCCAGGATTGTCTTGAACTCCTGATGGCAAGTGATCTACCTGCCTCGGCCTCCCAAAGTGCTGGGATTACAGGTGTGAGCCACCTCGCCAACCCTGAATCTCTGACTATGTTAATGACCTGTCCTTTCCAACCATGACATAGAAAAGATTTGGCTTTTTTTTTTTTTTTAAATACGGGATTTCACCATGTTGGTCAGGCTGGTCTTGAACTCCCAACCTCAGGTGATCCACCTGCCTTGGCCTCCAAAGTGCTTGGATTACAAGCGTGAGCCACCACACCAGGCCAGATTTGGCTTTTTAAGAATTTTGGAGGGCCAGGCAGCGGCTCATGCTTGTAATCCCAGCACATTGGGAGGCTGAGGGGGGTGGATCACAAGGTCAGGAGTTTAAGACCAGCCTGGCAAAGATGATGAAACCCGGTCTCTACTAAAAAAATATAAAAATTAGCTGGGCATGTTGGCACACACCTGTAAGCCCAGCTACTCAGGATGCTGAGGCAGGAGAATTGCTTGAACCTGGGAGGTAGAGGTTGCAGTGAGCTGAGACTGTGCCACTGCACTTCAGCCTGGGTGACAGGGCAAGACTCTGTCTCAAAAGAAAAATTTACAGAAAAATGGCATAAAAATGGGTTATTTTCTTAAATCATTTTTTCAGTGTTATACGATCTAAGCTCATTTGGTCTCTCCTAGGCAAGAAAATATATTGTAGGTTGCAAACATTCTTTTAATTTTGAAGAGTCATAAAACTCACATTATTTAGAGCAACAATATTTGTATTTGGAAATTAAAAATTCATGATTTCAAGAAAATACACAAAATCTACATTTTTGAGTAGTTTGAATAAGATTCTTAGTTATAATATTCATAGGAAATAACAAAACAAACTCAAAACCTTTATTATTTCCAGTCTCTTTGTAACTGATGTGGTATGGTATCATCATTACATCTAAACAGCAGTACACTGAATGGTTATCCTTTCTTGAGTCTCTGTGGCTAAGAAATGAAATAACTTAGAAGAGATAGGTTTTTATGAGAGTAGTTTAGAATCCTGACGCTGATGTGTAGAACTCTGTAATTTTAAAAAGATATTTATCTATTATATCTCTGATCTTTAGTCACACTAAGGCTCCCAAAATATTGGCCAGGATTGCTAATGATTCATACCTACCTGGTTTTTCAGGGCTCCTATAAACTTGTATAAGGATATTTTTCCACTTTTGATAAACATTTAACTTTGAGGCATTCACTTTTGTAAACCGCGAAAGTGCCTTACATTCATGTTTACCTCGTGAGCATTTCAAGTTGATTCCCAGTGCTGTACTATATCCTGTATATATGTGTTGTGTGGTATCTGTTGAAATGATTCTTAAAATTTAGAAAGTTAGGAAATAGAAACGTAAATGAAAATGTGGCGACCTGACTGCAGAACTATGAGTACTGAACCACTTTTAGGTAAGGCATTTTCATCCATTCTCTCTCATTTGCTCTCTCAGGATTCATCTTCTACTCTGTCGTCTTTACTCTTAGCTCTCCAAAACTGTATGATGGATGGGTGAGAAAGATGTGCATTTTGGTTGATAGGAAAAATGTTTCTGTTTTCTTCTTTTCCTCTTCACTTCAAGCATTGGTGATTACATTGATTGAGCTACTTCATCCATTAACTTGAAAGGCTACACATCATCAGCTCCTGTTCAAGAAGTAGCACATACCAGGTAAACAGAGTAGGCTATTATTCAACACTTGGGTTGAGCATCTAAAGCATTTAGATATCATTGACAGAAGAAACAAGCCCTAATGTGTCTTTGTAACAGCTGATTCTTGCAAGAAATGCAAACACAGGATATTTTTCTGTTCCATTACAAGGTTACTAAGAGGTGGAAAATATTATTCTCTATTTCATCAATAGTACAATTGCATACACACTTGTAAATACTGGAATTACAAAACATGATTGTCCTAATTGAAGCAGTCCTCAATCCATTTGAGTCTATACGATACCCCGAAAAATAAAAGTGAGAAATTTCTTGAAAGAGTTTTGAATATGTAGGTTATTCTGTTTATAAAGCATTTCATATGTATGTCAATAGGGTTTTGTTAATACTGATATAATATTTAAAATCTTTATGTATTTCTGACAGAATAAATGTATATAAATATTTAAAATATTTTAATGAGCCTTGGTGTTGTAGAGAACATATTTTGTAGTTCCATAAAAACTTCATGCAAATAAATTTTTTATATGTAAAACATAAACTGTTTGCTTTATATAGCAGCCAACCTTTTTAAACTCATTTCTGGTTTAGTAGATAATGCAAAATGATGTTGAGCAGTTTACATTTTGGGTAAAAAGTGGAACATTTTAGGTTGTAACTTCAAAGTGTTTGTGAGGAACTCTTGATGTACCAGCAGGTATATTTTTGGTGTTTCATGTTACATAGGTTAACTCTTTTATCCATACATATATATGTATATCAAAGTCCTTCCCTTGATCCTGTCAACCTTAGCACTGTTTGGGGAGTTGCCTCTACCGTTGGCAGAATTCCACTTTCCCTGAGGTCATTTGAAATCTAGCTGGTAGCCTGTGGGATAACCTTCACTCTTAAAACTTACTTCAAAGGATGGTGGTGAAAGTGGGGTATACTGCCAGGCCTTTGCCTATAGGAGTTTGTAGGGCCTGCTTTTGGAGGCAGTCCAACCCTGATGGCTGTACCTGTGAGCTATCCCTGTAAACACAGAAGACATGGTGTCTATATTGTTTAAGGACTGGCTCTGCCCTCCTGGGCCCTTGATCTGTGTCTAGACTTCTTGGTCAGAGGTTTCCTCATCTTTCTGCGCATACACTATTATCTAAGATCTTGTAAACATTTTTGAGTTGTAATCCTAAAGTCAGTTACTAAGCTTTTCTAATACACTCAAAGGGAGATTTTGAAATATCTTCATCAATGCTTAGGGTAGAAGGACAGGGTGAAGTGGTTGGGAAAGCAAAAGCTCCCTGGAGATGTTTTCAAATAGTTTGTACTCATTAAAGAGTTTAAGAATGGAAATACACCCTGAAGCCCTGAAGGGAATAACAATGTTGATACTAACCAACTTTACTTTTCTGGCCTCAAATCCTAGAAAGTATTGTGGTTTTTTTTTTAATTGTTGTTGTTAATTGATATTATATTTTGCTTATGGGAAGGGTCTCACATTAAAGTTATATATTTATATATATGCATATGTGTGTGTGTGTGTGT